TGCTTATAGATACTTTTTACTCATATACTCATTATCCTTCACTTTCGCTCTGCCGCTACTATTTCGCTCCGTTTTATCAAATGCATGAACGCCTGGAAAAGGTTACTTTATTATCAAAGGAAAATTTATGCATGGGAATGCTTTTTATTGACCAAAAGAACTAAACAGATTCTTCGTCTGCTACTTTTGTGCCATATCTGCGAGTTACAAGACAATAAATATACAATGAAAACCGAAAGAATACGTTTAAACGAGTTGTCATCAGAATTTCTCCCACTATCAGCTCAAAACAGTATTACAATACAAGGTAAACTTGGCGAGATGAAAACGGTCTGACTCATTGTCTGTCAACAAACTGCACTCTAACTGGTCTGTCAGAAATGGTGACCCCTCTCATGAACGGGTCCACATTCTCTGCCTCCAGTGGGTAAGTGATGTCGGCGTAATCGTACATCGAGTCAAAACTATCGAAAATCTTTTTAAATTTCTGTGTCTCGTAGACCTTGCAAAACCAAGTAGGCAAAAAACCGACCGCGACCGCAGTCGCCAGAAAATCTCCGACGGCTTTTATGAAGGTCTGTGCTTCTTTGCTGATTTCCTCTTAAAGACAACTAAACCTTTCGTCAAACAACATCTCCGCCACAGACTCAAACGAATATTTGAAAAGTTCACTATCGAGTTTACAAACTTCCTTTTCTTTCTCTGACCTACTAGACTCTCGAACTGATCGTAATCGGTGGATAAAATCGCCGATAATTTCATCGAAACCTTAAGTATAGTTGGCGACTTCTTTCGGTCAAAGCATTCTTTTTCTCAGGACGCTTCGTAGCTTGTACCATTCTTCACCATCGGCAAAAAAAAAAAAGAATCCAGGAATTTTCTACCTTTTTTCCCCCGTAGAAATTTAGAGACGGAAAGTCCAGTCTTTCTGGATATTTGGGATCCGATCGAACTTTGCAACGTCGGCAGGATCGGATAAACTGATAATTTCGACGCTTGGTAGTTTGTTGCGGAATACTTTCCCATATTTCTTGACATCTTCTGCTTGGATTTCGTAAAATCGCTTTCCAAGGGGCTGACCTTTCGTTCCCACGAAGAACGTCCAAGTTATTCCGAAAACTGGAAGACGGAGCAGACCTGGGTTTCTGAAAAAAGTTTTGTTTTTGGTGCATCTTCGACTGAAATTAACGAAAGAGAACACATCGATGTCGTCGGCAGAAAACCACGGAGACCATGGTTTTCTTTAAGCATGAACAAAATAGTCCGACCAGATGAGACAACGAGAGGGTGATTACTTTTCGTTCTAACAGTAAAGGCCATCTTCAACAACTTCAGCTATCAAAACCCCGTAGATCAAAGGAATCATTTGCACAGCTATAG